CGGACGGGCATCCTACGTGTCTCTCCGCTTTTAGCGGAAACGCGAGGGCGCGGGTTGATCGCTCGAGAAAGCGGCGGGCGCTACTCGTCCGCGTATAACGCAAGGATTCGTCCGAATCTGAAACACGCGGCACGCAAAGTAAGGAATCAGACCACGCATTGAAGAATGTCGAGATTGAAGTTTGACCAATCGAAACAAAAGGACTCAAAATTTCTTTGTCCTCATTGGTGAAATTTTAATCTTAATTCTTTAATCTCAATCATCATCAACGACCTAAGGCCGGAATCAGACTACGCAGATGATTGAGATTGAAGATTAAAAAATTGAAATTTGACCAATGAGAGTAAAGGAATCTTAGCTCCTATATTATTTTGATTGGCCAAATTTCAATCTTACAATCTTTAATCTCAATCTTCAATGCGTAGTCTGATTCCGGCCTTACGCAAAGCGACATTCATGACGCGGATGATGATGCTGCTGCACGTGACGTACATATCGTTCCCTCCGGGAATCTGGCGTAATCATAGCTCGAGCGTTATGCCTATTTCTCTCGTGTCGATCAGACACGCAACGACGACGACGACTCTCCCTCCGTACGCGCGAAATTAAATTTATCGCTGATTGTATTTTACCGCGGCGTGCCAAGTGCTGCCATTAACGAAGGATCATTCGGACGATCCGATCGACCTGCTTCTGGCTGAGAACCGATAAACGTATATACGACATGTCGCGTCGTTTTCGATCGGCTAATCGAGCCGCGCTCTTGTTTTTATCGTTACGACGCGATAGGGGATAACCGTCTTATGCACGCTTTGCGTCACGAGAAGCAACGCGCTCGCGCGCGCGATGCTAAAGGTGATGTGAAACTCGAGACGAAGCGGGTAGATGCCGAAAAGCAGAGCGAGAGGAAGAAACGGCTGGCTGCGCTGGCGAGGTATACCGAGCGGATAGACGTCACGTTCGTAAATCTATCCGAGAAGGATACTGAAATGCGGCGGCGGGGGGGGGGGGGGGGGGGGGGGGAAAAGGAAAAAAGAAAGGGGGAGCACGTGGTTGCCATTCGCTTAACCGCCTCCTTAGCGGATTACGGGTCCGGTGCATTCCGAGGAGAGGGTGGAAAAGCGAAAAACGAAAGGTGTAGCACGTGTTTGCCATTCGCTTAACCGCCTCCTTAGCGGATTACGGGTCCGGTGCATTCCGTCGCGCTCCTTTTCCACGCTCGCATTATTTATATTAGCGAGCGAAGACGTACTCATGGCATCTCGCGTAGCGGCCGCACTGTACACATTTTATTTTCTCTCTCGGGGGCTCATCGGCTCGCGAAGTCGGGCGTGATTTTCCGCCACTTCTCTCGTCCTGATGCGAAGTCGACCGCAACGTTCGCGAAATATCGACATTCTCGACAGATAGTGCGAAACGCATAGCTTTTGTATATAGAAAGTACCCGTGCGAGCCTCGAAAGAGTCAAAGGTATTGTCGTCGATGATTGTTAAGGCGCACAAAAAGCATAAGGCCGGAATCAGATTACGCATTGAAAATTGAGATTCAAGATCGAAAATTGAAATTTGACCAATGAGGATAAAGAAATTTTAGCTTCTATTATTTTGATTAGCCAAAATTCAATTTCAATCTTTAATCTCAATTTTCAATACGTAGTCTGACACGGCCTAAGTAGTGATTGACATAAGCAGTAAACTAATCGACATATCTATATTTCATATGTTATTGCCAGGCTCACGTTAAGCCCGTGATGAACTGTGGATGCAGATCGGATTGAGATTGCGGATCGCGCATCGGAATTCAACCAATCAAGATAAAGCTGCTTTGTTGTGATTGGCTGAATATCGATGCGCGATCCGCAATCCGTAGTGTGACACGGGCTTTAGTCTCTACTGTGATTTGGTCGATTCTCTCATTGCTTACGTCTTGTTGCTAGTTTTTCCGTGTGCTCTGATTCTAATAATTCTTATCATTACGCCAAGTATTGCTCGAGGACGTATAGTTTGTGGATTACGACTATTACGAGTAACTCATGCATCCTCTCGATTATTTTACTTAATATTTCACAGCTACTATCGCAACGAGGGGACTCTCTCTCTCTTTCAGTATTTAAACAATTCAAAACAAATAATTGAGAGGCTGTAATACAGCCTTCAGACGATCAATAATATTGTGCGATAATATTGATAGTCCACAGCGACCGCTTTAAGCCTTCCCGTTGATTAGAATTTACGCTTCTTTGGTACGCACGTGGACGTACAGTGTGCACACACACACGCGCGCGCGTATGCGAGGACAAAGGGGAGAAATTTATTTTGCCTGCTGGCAAGAGAGCCGTACGCGCGGATGAGTTGCGAGTATACCTCGCGTGAAACGTTATTAATTCTCAACTCGAGCTTCGCGCTTTAAGTCACGATCTGTAAAGTCGTGATAATAATGATCGCTGAAAGTGGTTGCACTTGTCGAGAAAACTCGATTTATATTAACACGCCTGGACGCCGCGCCGGAGAAGCGTGTCGCGTCGCGCGAGAAAGCCACCCCGGATGATGAGAGAAACGGAAGAAAAGACGAAGGAGTCATCATCGCTGTTGAGGTGGGAGGGAGGGAGGGAGACCTAATATACGCTTCACCTTACCGCGCGCCATGCCGCGTGACTCGCATATTTTCGATGCGGTATCTTGTGCCGTGGCTCTCTCGGACTCCTAGTTACTTAGGGCCGCGACTTTGCGCTTAGAACGACTTAGCGCACGCAGTGCAATGACCTCGTGCAAAACGGGCCTCTCTCCATTTCCCTTTCTCTAACTCGCACGTGACCGAGTTCTCTCTCTCTCTCTCTCTCTCTCTCTCTCTCTCTCTCACTCATTGCGGTGGATAGTTTTTAAGTAGTTTAGAGCGGTCATCATGAAAATTTCGTTAATGTGTTTTTTTCACAACACCCGTCTATCTCTTTCTTCTTTGTTTATTCACACACATCTATATAATAAACGTTGATCTTTTTATTTAATATTGGAACGAAAAAGGTCGAAAGTTCTTTCATCCTTTTTAAAGACTTATATATACACTGATGTGAGAAAAATGTTCTGGTTAAACCGACAAAAGAGATGCAACCAGAAATTCTGTTTAGTTTCGCTATAAAATACCTTTGTTGTTGAATCTTTTTGTTAATTTAATCAGGACATTTTTCTCAGGGTATAAGAAACAAAATTGTCGATTTTTTTCCTTTATAATATTATGAACGAGATGTGTACACTCATCAGCTATAAAAGGTTGCAACACTTTTCAATGAGTTTTGAAATGTAGCCTGTTCACCGAGCGATTGGTTCTTTCTTATGGATCTGACCATTTATGTTCAACCGTTCAACGAACGAGGCTGAGTTCCAGAATCCAAAAGTGAAAAAAAGTGTTGCAACCTCTTAGCTGATGAGTGTAACGTCTCGAAATTTTATAATTATTTTGATATAATCCCGCTAATTTTAGATCGAGCGTAGAAAGAGTGGATTAAGAAAGAAAGTGATATATCTATTATATCGTAATTAGTGCCACTTTACAGGATAATAAGGATGCCGCGCGCGCGTAATACAAACGCGAGTGATCCTCCTCATCGTGTTATTTTCGGACGCTTCCACGCCCGTATTTATTATTTTTACACAGAAAAGAAAGGATGTGACGGACGAAACATAATTACCCTGCTAATAGCAACTTGCAGTCGCTAACCCCATCCTTTTCTTGCTAGTGAATGAAGACGAGTGTGAGGAAATATAATCGAGCTAAAAAAGACGATCGGTATTGTTATCGATTTAATGGAGCGTATTATTACGTGTTTTCGCTACTGGCTATCGCCAGCTTGTTGTAAAAGATAACGGTCTCGTCTTTATCTGTCCTCTCTTTGGGATTTATATACGTCTCGCGCTGTAAAACTAATCTAATCCAGACTCGAAAAGCGGCTAACCGGAGAGACCCGTCCGTTTTGTCACTGACCGCGGCATCGACCAGAGCTGCACGGAGAGAAAAAATTTACCATGGCGGCAAATTCCGTTTGCAAATATAAAGTGAGCAAAATTATTTGCAATGAATGTAAAATATTTATCAAATATGCAAATTTGTTTGCTTAAGAACAGCTATAACGAGAATTTGACCGTAAAATTTTGCAATTTTGCGTTTGTATAGTAAATTTTTTTTCTCTTCGTAAATGGTTCGTAGATACGAGATACGTTAGTAATTTGCAAACAGGAGTCCGAGTTTTACATCGAGAATGACTGATGCGTCGATCATCGCGTCTCGACGATGTCTTTACGATGTGGCGCGGTGGTTTATGAAGTGGTTTGAATGAACGCGCGACGCATAACATCGGTTGCGAATGCGAATGAATATGCACGTGGATCAATGTATGTATGTACCTACATACCGAGCGTGTTACGTTATACTCGCATCAAATTGCGTCTCATTCATCGATGATGGCAACGGAAGTGCGTCAGTGCGATAAGCTGTGTTTTGCGTTTAAAATATGTATTCTTTTTTATATGATTACTACATTACCATTTTGCAACTGTTATAAGATTATTTAATATGACCGATTTTTGTCCTTAATTCTTCTCACTGGATCTACATGTATATATAAATCAATCATATTAAAAAATCTCATATAGATAAATGTGCGAGGAAGAGGTAAAAAAAAAGAGTGAATCACGTCTTCTTCTCTTGGCTCGTAAAATGTTGAAGGTGATAAATCGGTGATAAACATTCTCTTCTCCTTTTTTTATTAGAGAATCTTCAATAAAAGTATTTTTTTGCTTTTCCTTACCGAACGTATAGCCAATGTCACCTCGATGTCTGCGAAATACAAACTTTGTGTGGCGTAGTAGTATCAGTAATCGATAAGATGATGAAATCATAAATCGGATAAGACGCGATGTTTATATTTGTATCGCTAATGTCATTCGACGATAATATGGTAATAATGCTGAATTGATAACGACGCGATGTTTTCCTTTTCTTTTCAGAATGTACTTTCGGCAAGCAGATACGCGAATTGGGCTCGACATGGTTCGCGGACTTGGGACCGCCCTTCGGAGTCATGTATTGCATCAAATGCGAGTGCATACCGGTACGTGTGTGTGTTACAATATTTTTACTTCTGTCGATATTTTTTATTGCTATTAAAAAAAAAAAAAAAGAAAACACATAACTCGTTACAGCCCGCGTATTAAAATGTGTCGCATGTCACGCGTGTAGCGTTCGGCGTACACGTAGTGTTTAGTAAACAATCAGTACCACGCCAGCATTTATTAACATACATGAATAAAGAGCGACGCGTATATATACCCTCTCTCTATCCTTTGCCTTCGAATTTATTGTCGAGAAATATGCTATAATCACGTCCTAGGTACTTATTACGACTTTACGCTCGTTATTTTTTCTCTCCTTTTTTTTTAAATTCGAGTCACATCGACGTTTACCGAGTCATACGGTACGTTCGAGTCTTATTAATTGGAGAGAGGATAAATTTCTATCGGGATAAATCAACGCGGCGCGTACATTCTTGCAATTACACGGTGCCCTCGCGGTTCGGATCGTTGCGCGCGCCGCGTATAATTTAACCCCTTGGGCCTATAAATGCCATGATATTGACACAAAGGTGACGTATCAAATGTCGAGACGCCGAATCCGAACCGTCACTCGGCGAGCGATCGTGCGTCACGAAATACGCGCACGGATACGTATTTATTCGCGATCGCGCAATAATCGTTATTTATATTCCGATTGTACACACGCATGCCTTCTCTCCCACCCTCTCCCCCCCCCCCCCCCCAATCGAAGCGTATAATATTCCCTTCTGAGATATCTTACTTTCTTGAACATATCGGCTCATTTCTATCGGCAATATGAAATTTTTACCCTTCGTCCTGGTTCTTCGAACTTCAGTCCAGATTTACGGATTATGTCTGAAAAAATCTGAAAAAAAATCTTACATATACTTATAAAAGCTTTATATAACAGTAAGTGTTTACTGTCGCAAAGTCGGATTGTATTTTATTTGTTTACTTGAGGTTTATATATACAGATTTATATCTATCCAGAATTTTCACAATCAAAACAAATTGACTTTCTCAATATATTTGTTTCCATAAAAAATTTTGCATTCGTACGTTACATTAAACCGAAGGTATTTGGATCAACTGTTGAGAATGTTTTAATCGTCGATCGCGCGAGTCTCTCTCGAGCCCGCCATCCGGTCGTTATGAGAATTTCGAGCGCGCCGAATCGTTAAATCTTAATGTGGAAATGTTGCGGAATTTATGCGTGCACTAAACGACGATAAAACACGCGATAAGTAATCGGTGTAAATGCTAATGAGACGCTATCTGATGAGTTTTACCGAGAAGAGAAAATTAATTATACGATCGGATCGAAGGAGAGGTGGTGTACGATCGTTACGTACGACGCCATTAAAGTCACCGCTCAGATCATTAGAGGCCGCGGAGTTCTAATCTTTCTCGTAATGTATTAGCAATAACAGGTATGTGTGATTATACGATCAAGGAGATAACGTTTTCGACCGAAGCAAAGTTCGAAGGAAGTCGATCTTCGCTTTTAAAATTTTGCCAGAGTGGACGCCTCGATAGCTGCACACTCTCTCGTGGGTTAAATCCTTCTTTCTTCGAAGATATTACGATCGACCGAAAAGATGGATGGAAGAGAGAGAGAGAGAGAGAGAGAGAGAGAGAGACGCTACGTCACGCTGTTACGTTCGGCTCGTGGACGAGGAGCGCGAGAGAGCGCGGCCTCTATTTTTAGACTTCGGAGGAATGACAGTCCCTCTTCAGTGTACATGAGGAGCTATTGATAGGTCGCGGTCTTGGTTGGTGGAAGAAGCAGACGCGTCGCGTGAATCACACGTCGCTGCGAGAGAGAAGAAGCCATGTCTCCTAAAGTCGCTCCCGCGACGATGTCGTCGTGCCTCGTCGGACATCGCTTATCCCCGCCGGAATACCCAATGAGTGACGGGTCACCATATACGATATGTAAACTTAAAGAGCAGCCTATTAATGATCGCTTTTGAGAATTTGATTTATCGTCGTACTCTCGGTGGATATGTTTTGTAATATACGTGCCCCACGACGCGTTGCAAATTTGCAGCCCTCGGCTGTTGATGAGAAACATCTCATGGTAATTCCAAGGCTCGCGACTTTGGATGAAAATGATAAAAGTGAGCAAAATCCCTATAGGGATGTTTAGGCCAATAAAGTTATAAATATTCTATATAAATTTGTACATTTTTTGTAATTTTCATCAATTTGTATACGCAATCGAATCCCTTTTCGGGGGCTCGCACCTTTTCTCTCTAAGTCGAGTCGAACGTGCGTCGTTTCACGCTTCAGGAATGCCGTGCGCGAGCGCCGCTCTATAAAACCACCGACTTAATTCCTCTCCGTAACTGGAACCGCGCGGCCGCACTTTTAGTAACTGCGTCGCACATTACCGCGTTGCCTTCGCCTCGTAAACATTCCTTCCATTGTCATACCGGAAGGCAACCAAAAATAAAGTCTGAGACACAATTGAAAAACACTTATAGAAACACGGAGAATAATAAGTTTAACTTATCAGAAGCCACAGGAAAAAAAATGCAGTATTCCGTTCGTGTAGATAAGTTGAAATCTGTTATTCTCCTATTTATTGCCTGTGTCTTTCAATCGTGTCTCAGAGGCTTCCCGCGCGGAAAGTAGATGTAAAGATGAAGTAAGGTGGCGAAAAATACTCGCACAAGGACGTCTCGTGCGTCCGCGAGAAGAAGAAATCTCGAAGTAATATAATCATGACAAAACGTATATAGTTCGTTCTTATTTTTATCGGCAGTCGTACTCTTCTACTTTCAGGTGCAAAAGAAACGGCGGATCATCGCGAGAGTTCAATGCCGCAACATCAAGAACGATTGTCCCAAACTCACGTGTGACGAGCCAGTTCTACTTCCGGGACGATGCTGCAAATCCTGTCCCGGTGACTACAGTAAGTTACGCGACGCACACGTGTCTGCGATTATTTCCCGGTTATAATCTCTTTTTTTTTTTTCCGCCGGTCGTCGAGAGCGCTGCTGAGATAAGCTGCGAGATAAGATTTTTATACGCAAGCTTGTAACTATATGTATACAATGTACTCGGTATCTATATTGTTCCTCGATATCCAGAATAGGAAAAGGAACTTCATCCGCATTCTATTGCGAGTGTAGCGCGCGGTACACGCGGATCTCCGCGCGAGGAGAAATAGAGCGCGCGTTGCGGACGGGGAGCCCGCCGCGGGTGGAGGAGCGGTGCACTCTCGAAGAATTTGGCCCACGCCGCGCGGCGATGCAGTGAAAGTAGTATACGTATCTCTCCCGCGTTGTTGATAAGGCTACCAGATAAGGCTCGCGCGCGCCAATTCCAGCGCGACGGATAATGAGCGCGAATTGGTACGAAACCGCTCCGCTTCGAATAGCGATACTATCTCTTTTTACGCTTTTGCGCGCGCCTCGCGTGCATTTATCACGCGCGTAGAATTGTTTATTCAAGGAAATTGCAAATTGGCCCGTTAAATCTCCGGCTGTCGGTCGCCGGGGGTGTTGTACTATCGGAGATGTCGATAAGAGCAGCGTACATATTTCTCTCTTCTACGTGTATATTATAGAGATATGCGGGCGAGGAAAGAAGAAACCGGGGCGAAACGGTTTGCCTAGCGGTGAAGAGGAAAAAAAGGGACGGATGTGGAAGTGAGAGGAGAGAGAGAGAGAGAGAGAGAGAGAGAGAGAGAGAGAGAGAGAGAGAGAGAGAGAGGAGATTGACCGATCGCGTTCTCTCGAGAGTGAACTCGAGTTCGTAATCGGTGGAAGAGGAGCGGCGGAGCGAGAGGGAGACGGACGGCACGGTTTAGCGCCATGGCGCCGGCTATATTACCGCATGGCGTCACTTCGATTAAGCCGTGCAATCTAAATGTAAATATTAGCATACGTAATGATCGGGCATAAAGCGCGCGATGGGAATAAGAATAGATGGGCGGCGGACGCGCGGGAGATAGAGATGGATCGCGCGGTATAGTAGTGGAGGGATGATCCATTCGTTGGATGGGATAAATCTGTTTTCGTTCTCTGTTCCATTTTGCCCTATACGTCGTTGATTAACGGTTAATTTCGTTCGTTTCTATCGATTGGTTCCGCGAGCGCCTGCGTTGTAATAAACAGAGACGACGGGGTCGTCGTTTCGTTAAATTTTTTACGGTCGCGCTTATCGCGCGCGGCTATTGGCGATGCAACGGGAGAGGCGCGCATATTATCAATTAGGTTAATATGACACTTTTGATAAAGCGCTCGTTGTCGCCACAATTCTGCTGCCGTCTCTGTATGGGGATCTATCAACGACGACAGCGACGAGGACAGCGAGCGAATCATTTTTGATAATCGTACTTATATACCGCCGCGCCGCGCCGGTCGTTTATTCTCATAGACCGTTCGCGCGCATCAATATCACATGCACGACTCGACTTATATACGATCGTCATAATAATCATTGTCGCCGTTGTCTGCTGATGGGGGGCTCGTTGCCCCCTGCTGATGAAAGGTGAAACTGCGGCCGCAATTAGCAACGCCCTGCCTTTTACGCTCCACACGAGGAAACATAACTGCGACCCTTGAGCTCGTCGATTGGTTCATCGCATCGATTCTCATTCGATGCTCTCTCGTCCCGACTGTGACGGGCGACCGAAAGTCGCGGTCTCGGGTCTCTTCTCCGGACTAATGCGAGAAGCAAATTAGTTATATGGTTATACCGTAGGCGTCTGAAGTCAGAATATAAAACGAAACTGTCCGGCGTGTCGGATGGATTATCTTGGAGGAGGGAAAAAAAAAAAAGGAGAAAGCGAGACAAGGACGAGATAGAGATTCTAGTATAGATCGCGCAAGAATATAGCTTTACGAGCGAGATAATCCACGATCTCTGCTCCGCCGTTCGTTCGTGACACATTTATATCTGTCTCCTTGAACGATTCTTAATTCTGAGTAACGGTCGTCCTTCGATCCGAAACGGTGTTGTGCTTAAGGTGGCGGTTTTCGGTAGTACAACCTCCAGCCGCCATAACATATTTGTTAGATGACGCGCACACATATTATCCTTTCTAGTCATGCGAATTGCAAAACGCAACGTGTGTCGTGGATTTGTGAATCCATCGTGTCACCATTGTCGCGATCTTTCCGCGAAACAATTTGAAGCCGACAATCGAAGGAGCCGCGCTCGAACGAGATCGAAAGGGAAAAAGAGGGAGATGGACGACGAGCCAGCGGAAAAAGAAAAAAACGCGGTAGGTGGTAGGTCCAATTAATCGCCGCGTAATTAACCGCGTTTTATCGCTCATATCCGTCTTTCTCCGATATTAATGGCGCGACAGAGCGGCGACCATTGGTCATAGATCCGATCAGGTAGGCGGAAACGGTTTAGTTAGAGTAACCGATCGGGCCGCGTCGGGTGCGAGGCGTGCTGTACGTTTTGCGCGCCGCGGCAATTAACGTCTCCGTGGCGCTGAACCGGCGCGGCATGCGCCATAAAAGTAGCATTCAAAGTAGCGGCGGTTGGCGCCAGCCGACTCTTTTCCTACCGCGCGCAGGCATACTTTATGGTCGGTGCACATGCCACCACCGGCCGCTGAATCGGCTCAATGGGGATCGACGATCGACGATCGACCGGTTATTTTTATTTTTACGCTCGTCTCGAAGGAGAGACGCTCGGGGAACGGGAGAGGACCACCACTCTATACGCGCTCGATGCAGAGTGCAAAGGACTCGCCATTCTCCTGCGCGAGGAGTTTTATCCTCCCGAGAGAAAGAGAGAGAGAGAGAGAGAGAGAGAGAGAGAGAGAGAGAGAGTGTCCCTATAGAATACACATTTGGCTTTATATCGCGCGTGAGTTACGTGGCGGCCGCGACGTTGATTCCGACGCACGGTATATAATTTATACATGTCCTCTCAAAAATATCCGTTTGTTATCGTTCTAATATTTTCTATCAATTGTTAACGTAAAACTCGTCCAGTTTTCAAAAGGAACGAAAAGCGCAACTCGCAAAAATTGGCCGAAGACAACTTTTAATACCCATGTCGAGAGGAGCTTCGTCATTGGTCTTTTTTTTTTTTGCGAACGTAAATTACTGCGCGTTGAACGACCGGAAAGATTGTACAATCGAGCGGTCAAATACCCGCGTTTACGACGGAATAAATCTTTTGTTGCAGACGCAGACATAGCGCAGGATCTGCCAGCGCAATTGACTTCGGAGGAAGAGGAGCGAAGCCTGAAACGTAAGATTGTTACAAGCTTTTCTGAAAATTTGACGCGCGTGTACTACACGTTTGATCTTGAAATCGTATTTTTTTTTTGCTCAAAAAACGGTATCAAAGACTCGATTTCCAACAACGTTAATTTATCAATTTCCGCGAGCATGAAATGTGCGGGCATTTTTCTCAAAGCTGATTGATATTCGCTTCGAAATTTTCTCATATAGTATTTGCAGGTTTATAAACCTTAAAATTAATGTATCTTTGTTAAAGTTGATGTAATATATCCGAGGAATAAGATTAAAATTGTGAAAAACATTCGTCATAAACAATCTTCGCAACGTAATTAAAAAATGTCTGGGTCACGTGACTACCAACTATGATTAAACGATCGTTAATTAAACGTCGTTAATTACAGATTTCGGCACCCTGTTAACGGGCAGAACGTCGCAGTCTCTGCGTCGCGATGAACCGAATCCGACGTCAGTTTACAACAGCGCGTACAACTATCTGGCGACTGGTCGCTTCACGTTTCATCGCAAGAATATCTACTACGCGTTCTATCTGTCCGCGTCGACGCCCCGACCGCGCAGCATACAGTTCGTCGATGGGTCCGGCAATATTCTCGAGGAGCAGATGATCGATCCGATCGGTGGTGCTTATCAGAACACCACCGGCAAGCTCTGTGGGGTGTGGAGACGCGTGCCACGCGACTATCGCAAGCTGCTACGCGAGGAACGGCTACACGTGTCCTTCCTCTGGGAGCCTTCGTCGAGTCTGACCGGGCAGTTGTCGCGTTACCGCGCGTTGTCGACCGAGCAGTTCTCCGCGCTCTTGGAATCGGCGATGGGCGTCGACCGGTCGTTAATGTCCGGCGCGGGTGCAACGGCGATTGTATCCGCGTCGTCCGCCTCAGCGCCCTCGATCCACGTGTCCCTCGTCTTCAACGGTCTCTTCCTGCCGAACGACGTGGCCGATGTTCCGTTGATCGTTCAGCTGGAGCATCACGAGAAGGATCACGTGGTCCTTCGCGAAGAGATAATGGTGAGAAAGCCGTCGAACGAGCTGAATTACGGCGAGGTCCGCAGCGCCCTTTCCGGGACCGATCTACGTCTTTTGACTCGGGGCAAATTGTTGATCAGTATAATGTCTCGCAAAGACCCGCAGGCCCTTCGACTGATCGGCATGATAGGCTCGCGCGCAACCTGCGACATGTATCAAACGTTACTGCTGTCGGAAACACCATCCGTGGCATCCGGATTGGCTTGGGCCTTTCTGGATCGTGTCGGCGCGCTACGCTACGGAGTACAGTTGATAGGACTCGAGGAAGAGAGTCCCCTGGTGACGTTAGTGGACGAGGGTGGGAAACGGAGGATGGAACTCGAGGATCTGACACCTTCGTTGATCGGTGGCTCCATCGCGAACGGTTCCTTGGATCGGCCTGGACCCAGACTGTTGCAACCGCTCTTCAACGAGGAACTCTCCGTGGTCGCTGCCAGCCATGTCGGTTCCATGTTACGCGGTAGACTCTTAGAGAGACCCGTGGCGGACGCCAGAGACACGACCGCGCCTGTGCTACTGCGAAGATTGACCAAGGAGCCAACGCATCCTGGACCGGTCGGTTTGATATGGACTGCGGTGGATTTAGATTGTTCTCTACACTACGAACTGGAGCTAGCCGGTTTCCCATCCTCCTCCCAAGAACTGCGAACGTTTCGTTTATATTTAGAAACGATGCCCATGTTAGCGCAGGGAGCTCCTGTCGCTAGAAGACTTCTCGAAGAATTCACGGGATACTCTTTGGAAGGTTCGGTCACCGGACTGTCATCGTTGGAGCTCTATAGGATCGAGTCGGGCATCGGTTTCCTCGAAGTCACAGACAAGCAGGTCACCCACATCCTGAAAGCCCCTTTCAAGGCGAGGGCACCGTTCAGCTGCCTGCCACACTACGCCGACAACGACGTTGCCTCTGTGGTGGCGTACAACCTGCAGCCACCTAGGTCGGATATCGAGACCGGTGCGTGCTTCCACGAGACCAGATTCTACGAAGAAGGCACGCAATGGACCTCGAACTCGGATCCCTGCTCGATGTGTCATTGCTATCGCGGCTTGGCGCAATGCGACGTGGTACCTTGTCCGACAATCTCTTGCGGGATGTTGGGAAAGCAGTTCAAGCAACCGCCGACTGGTCATTGCTGCCCGATATGCGCAGGTAAAGGGATTTATTTATTTATCGAAACTGGAAATAATATTTTTTTTTACACGAAACGAGAATGCCTATACGTAAGAGAAGGACAGAACGGAACATAACTGGCATAAATTTATGTAGCAAAATTGCGAAAGAGATAAGTTAAGTATCGCCTAAAACGCTCGAATGATAAATTGTTATTTGGTAAAGCTATTTGATAAAGTTACTCTTAAATGCGACATTCGATCGACATGTTTAATGTTTCGTTGATAATTTATTCAGATCCAATAACTGCCGAAACTAACGCCACGATCAAGAACAATGCTACGAGGGGTTGTACTTTGGCCGGACAATATCATCTCGCGGGATCATCTTGGCATCCGTATCTACCACCAGCGGGATTCGACACTTGTGCAGTCTGTACATGTGACGTAAGTTTCTACTCCTATTTTCGTTTTATTAGAATCGTAGTTGAATAGAAGGCGATAAATATTTACATCTTAAAATGTATACTTGTGTGTTCTTTTTCGTTACATTAATTTCTTTTTGAAGCACATAACAATTATAAGATATTTGTCTACACGTGTGCGTCGCATATTTTCTTAATATATTATAATTACGCTTTGGCTTAAATCGTCCAAGTAATCACCATTATATTTTACAATGATTAGCTCGGCGCATGATTTTGCAGCGCGCGGAAAAACCTGAGCGTTATACCACACCACGTCCGAAGAATGCGGTTGCGGTCTGGCAGTTAGTAATGAGTTTAATTGAATGATTCAGCGACAAGATTTTCTAAACGATGCAGTTTATTTAATACTCGGCAATCGCTTCCTAGCCAATTGACACCATGCAGTCGTGAAAATATCTCGCGTTATGTATGCCAGGGAACGACGTACATCTTTTACAAATTACTGAAATTACTACGCACACAACACAAACATTCTTCGTTCCACGGTATATACGCTTCTAAGGCTTTGGGACGAAATTTCTAGACTGCAATCCGATTCACATTCACGGCGTTCTTGGAATTATTTTTTTTTTGTCCTTGTTTGTTATTAAATAAGGACAAATTATGCTTATAAATGTGAATCGGATCGCAGCCTAAATTGCCATGTGTGACTCCTTCGGTAATAAATGATAAATGCGACACGATGAAGAGGAGAATGAGCGAAACGCGTGAAATGTATGCGTTACGTACGGGATATGGCCAGGAGGTAAGAGAGGAGGTCACCTTCGCAATTTACATCGGAAATCCATTTGTCTCGCAGGCTGTCACGCTGGAGGTAAAATGCCCGTTGGTACAATGTCCGCCGCTCGAGTGCGACGAGAAGATCGCCATCAGGCCGGACAAGAAAGCTTGCTGCAGACAGTGCCCGCCATCAACGATCCTTAATATAACCACCACCGCGTCAAGCGACACCGTACGCCTACCTAGGGATCAAGCTTTACCTTCGACGCGGCGCACCGCGGAAGAGATACTCTCTTCCGGTGGCTGCAAGTACCCCTTCGGTGGACCTTACGAGAATGGCATGGAGTGGCATCCCCGGTTGCACTCGCACGGCGAGGTGAAATGCGTCAAGTGCCGCTGCAAGGTGAGAAATCTCGAAGAAATCTAAAATCCTTGAGATTCGATCGAAAAATAAAAATTAAATAGCGCGCGCGCGCATTATTCGCCACGATTCTCGAACATGATCGCGCGGATCGTTTCGAAACGAGAGAGACTGGATTAATGAATAAAACGCTATTTTTACGATCTCTCTTTATCAGGCGTGTCTAATTATCTTAATCGAACCGACGAGATAAAGTGAATCTCGCGGTCTTGAGCTCGCGTTACTTTTGTTCGTTACACTCAATTCATTCGTTAGACGGGGTCGTCGCGCGATCGTCTCGCGGTGATATCCAGACACGGGCACGACGAGAGATCTTTAAGGAGAAAACCTTTAACCGGACTCGTTCGTCTGGCCCGACCATTATAGGGTCCATCCATTACGATGAAAATGGAACACTGTGGCCTCGGCTGGCTCGCGTTGCGTCGCGTCGCGTCGCGTCGCGACGTCACGGGACGGAGCGAAAAATAATCGTCTCGATCGTGAGAAACGGATTTTGTATTCCAACGGAGCTCGTTGCACCGGTTCTTCTCACGTTTCGTTTTTATTACTCGCGTTTGGTTTTTTTTCGTTGATGGATAAACATCTCGTCTTGCTACATACGAGTTTCTTCTTTTTAGCTAAGTCTGTTAAGCACAACCTGAGTTGTTTTCACGGGTTTCAGCATTAGAAGTACCGAGCGGTCATTATTATCCGTATCTATTTTTTAAATTAATATTATATTTTTTTATGTGAAAAAATTCTGAAATTTTTCAACGCTTTTTTTATTTTCGTATTAACCCGTATAGCACAATTTATTCCAGCAATGTGTAGTAATTTATTAGTTTATTTATTTAGTTTGTTTTTCTTTTTTAACAAATTGGAAAACGTCTCTCGGTATACTATAGTGTTAATATTCTCGATACTTCGAGTGTTAATACAATATTCATTCGTATATTTTAACGTGCATTTAATGATACAATATACGTAGAGAGACTAGAAGATATACATATACATGTATGTATCATCCTACGTTACATCATAGAATAGAATAGAATAGAATGAGCGATGCGAAGCGGCGTATCGTTGATCCGTTCTACAGAATGATCCGTTTCCGCGCGTTTCACGGCTAGAATTTCTTGCGCAGATTTCACGCAACGAACGCGTAAATGGTTATCGTAATGGGACCGCTCCCTCTGCTTCTTTCAGAACAGCGAGGTCAGGTGCGACAGGAAGCGCTGTCCACGGTCACTCTGTAACTCGATCGTGCATCAGATGAAGCGCGGCGAGCACGTGGCGGACGTCGACGACTGCTGCACGGCGCAGTGCGAGCATCGCGCGAGGCGTCATCATCGCAACAACCATCATCCGGCGCGGCGGCACTCCATGACGCCACGCGAGCTGAGCTGAGCCTGGTAGAGGAGTCTGGAGAAGAGTCTGCCCCGGTCCTACACGAGGAAGCTCCGCCGCGTCCACTCATGATAGTCATCGTCGAATGATGACGAAATCAGTCGCGGCCGACCATTATCCCGTCACGCGATTGCTCTCTTCGTGTATCGTACGACCCGAGGGGCTCTCGAGACGGAAACCACATCGAAACCGAACGGTTCTGTACACGCCCGCACGTTCAAATCGCGAGAGCTGGATTTACGGAAGATTAGGGAAGAAAGAGGGAACAGAGTAGAGAAGAATATTAAGAAATTGCAAAGACGAGGGAGAGATCGACTATACGTTTCATTCGTGTTTCGATCGACAACGAGCGAGAAACACTTTTACAAATTACTTAGTCATTTTAATTTCTAGCAGTGGTATTCGAGGTGACAGGAGTAATTATTTAAATGATGACGAATGCTCGTCGCTCAAAGTTTATCGTTGTTATCGGTGACGCGTGCAGGAAGTCGCGAGAGATAATCTAGTGCAATAAGAGGAAGGACGTGGGATTGGACAACACGGATCGGATATTGCTATTCTTGTCCTCGACGAGACCGCTCGGTCGTTCGCTCCGGAGCCTCCAGCGCCCGCAGCCAGACGCTTATTAATCAATTGATCCCCATCAACGGATTGAAAGGAAAGAAAAAAAAAAAAAAAACAGGAAAGAGAAGAACGTAAACTAAGCGCCCTTCTCCTCGCCAAGAGCGACAACCGGTGGGGTGAAGGGGTAAAGGGAGAAGGGTGGGAAAGAGGTGGTGAAAACTCGGAAAGGAACGAGTTTTTAGTCGCGGCGGTACTACAGTGTCCTGCTGTATCCACTAACCTCTGCGAGTTACCCAGCAACCAAAGAAGACTGAAAAACCTCCGACAGCGGCATCAGTTATATTATACGATTACTAATACTAATTATTTCAACTTATATATTACTATTTTATTACTATTATTATTACTGTCATTTCTATTATCGATAGTATTACTACTACTATCCGCTTACAATTATCGTCTTGTAATTGGTATCGCTGCGCATCTGCGTCACTTTTATTGCTCCTTATCTCGCGATTGCTGTGTGGTAAATCTAAATTATCGTTCTAACGTAAAGATATATTTATGTTGTAGTTACGTTGAATACTTATATGAAATCTCGTATGAAACCGTTCGGTGCGAGGAACGGCGAGATTATGTGCCGTTATTCCACGAATGAATAAACGGTAATATTTGTTAAAGCGATAACACTTGTTACTATAAGTACGTAATATTTAAACTGTATTTATTATTAGAAATAATCCTTTTAAATTGGATCTCGTATCGGATTTTAAGACAAAACATAATCAATTTTCACGTTTCTCTCGCAGTTACTAATTAAATCTGTACGACAATTAACAATTAAATTTCAAAACATGAAAGAAATGTAATAATATCGTTCGAGATTAGTATTTTAGAAAAAGTCAACTATAATTTTCCTGACTAATTCGAAATTTTTGTTAATTACTTTTCTCCATAAAAAAAAGTCTTTCCAAATTTTTTTAAATATTAGTTTTAACAAAACCGGTACGAAAGATTTGTCATATACACTTATTTAATCGTATTCCTTTTGTGTAACATTATTTTGTATAAGTTTTGAGAAGCACGAAGGTGAAACTGAACAGTAAGATACTCCCGACGCGAAAAAAAAGGGCTATTTCGATCGAAAGTTCTGATCAATTTAATCGATTCGACTGATACAGAACTGCTCGCAGCGAAATATCCAGGTGAATAATTCAACGCCCCTGATCTCTATAATCTTGTCTTCCATGTATTAAGAAATTAATATAGTAGAACTCCATTTATACCAACAAGTTTATGCTCAGTTCTGAATTTATAGTTGAGCTCCTGAACTACGGCGCTGTAATTCGGATAATAGTAGAAACCCTCTTATCAGAGACTGGCTGTAAGGGCTACTTTTTTTTTTTTTATTGATTCGGTATTTTTTGTCAATTCGTTAGTCAGAACGAAATAGCACACATTTTCTTATCTCTTGTACCATTGTAGGGCGAGACAGTACATATTTTTTTCTCACTTGCCATAATTTTGCCGTAACATGTTCTTAATCACGAAATACAATAGATGTAGGAAGCCTTGGGTGCCTTCCAACAAGCGACGGAGATGACACGGTGTAACATAGTGTATCAGTACGTCATTGTTCGCCAATGTTAAACAAGGATGAGATGATCGCTGTGTCACACTGTGTCGCTTGTTGGAAGGCACACCTTAAATCTTGAGACATTGGTCAATCATATAGTCGATTTTTCTTCTCACATTCAACTGTGATCGATCAATGTCTCTTAAAAAAATCTTATCGCACTTGTCATGTTTCGGAACTTCGGTCAATCTCTGATTAGAAGATTTTTAAATAATAGAAGCTCGACGTGTTTGACCTCAGTTTCTTAAACGTCAGTTTTTATCAGAATTAATAAGTATCGGAATAAGGGAAAAGTTAGTGAATCTTTATTATCTAAATCTCGGTTATCGAAACTGTCTTGGCCTTTGCTATTTGGATAAATGGAGCTCTACTGTAATCTTATTCATGTTAACAAAATAATAGCATTATCTGACAATGAGTGGTCGTTTGCCGATAAAGTTACTCGGATTTTGGTCGAAATCACCCTTACCACTATGAACATGGTACCGAATATTGTTTTCGAAGCGATATAATTTAGCGGCTGCTTATAATGAAGCCAGCAAGAAAGATACGCACGTGCCGATATCGTTCGAGAGAACTCGGCCACCTAAGCAATTCAGAGAGTACCGTTCGCGTTCGATTTAGGTTCAATTGTTACAGCCGCGAAGGCTTAGTAGCAGGCCTCGCTCGTTTATTTCGATGTCATGATAAAATGTTATTCGACATCGTGCGTATCTCGTCGTGCGGAGGCGTTGCAAATTCACCGTTTACCGTAGGTGCCTTATACTCGACAGTACGAATACATACGTAGTCAGCTGACGTCGACGTCGCCTATGCTCGCGTACATAAACGTTTTGTAAATAAGCGCGGCTAGAATGGATCTTATTTTGATCCGGCTAGACGGGCGTCAGCACTATACACACTGGCGATTATTATTAATTATTTATACATTACGACGTAACTTTTAGTGCTACCCCGAAACTCTCTTCCCTCCTCCTCCTCCTTCCTCATCCATATTACGTTTATTATGGATCTCCTATCGCCATGATATTATTTAAAGTCATCTCCCGCAAACTGTCAGTCTTGATATTAAACGAATTAACATTAATTATTGGATAAGCGGCATGCTCTTGTACCGACCATGCTTCATGTATACCCGCTGTTTTAATTTAAATCGATGCGGTCTCTGTAACGCTTACGTCTACGCTGGGGGTAGAAATATATAAGAAGCTCGGTCTTTATTTTTTATCGAACTTAGCCGACGAAAGATTAGTGAAAACGGCGTATACGTAGCGTTACGTCGCATAGGAGGGTTGCCGTTGCTCGTTGCGTGAAGCTTGAAGAAAAGAAGAGGAGGCGGACGTTTCTCGAATCTCAGCGGGATTCGTTTTGCGCGAAACTGTGCCAATTGTTGTTACGCTGAAATACAGAATACGTTTAATTCAAGCTGTGACGTTATGGTGCAGCGATGCGATATATACGTAACGTGAAATTATCGTTGCGGAGGAAATAAATTTGTATATTTTGCTTCCGCAGCGCGTTCGCCGAGTATGACGTCCGTATGCTCCCTAAGATGTAACAATTCACTTTTTCTCGTGCGATCACGCGGACGGCGACCGGGACTACTATTTTTTTTTTTATACAACGCGATAATTTTAATGAAATCTTTTGTATTTTTGCGACAAAGTAGGCTGCTGAGAGACGCATGACGCACACTTCGATAGTTTTGTAGAGAATGGAGATCGATGCTATTCTGTACTGTGCCAAAATGATTTATTAATTAAATGCCGATTATTATTATCACTGTTGCCATTAAATAAGCAGGCCTTATAACTCCCAAAATTACGTGACATGATTTTATCCATGTTCAGCTTTATCAACGGCTGCGTTCAGCAGAAAAAACGGCTTTGCAATTGTAAGTTTCTATAATAAAATATATAAACTGGATAAAAATATATAAATTATACTACAGAATCTTATAGCATTTGCAAAGCTGCTTTTTCTATTAAACGTAGTCATTTATAAGTTCACATTGGCGTGAACATTTTACTTTTAGTGTACGTTGTAATCCATCGTGGAGCGAAAAGTACACGAAAGGCGATATAAGTTGACTATAGGTGTCTTATTCTCGCAAAATATTGTGTATTATGAATATATACTAAGAACATCTGTAATATACATATGTATAACGTACACTGGGCAACAAAATTAACGCAACACCTGCTTCACTGTGCAAAAATAGGCAAACTTCAAGATAGAATAACTTCGTCAAGAATCATCGTATCGAGATGTTTAAAAAAGCATTTTACAGCTTGAAACCTCTACTTTTCAGATCGCTGCTTGAAAACGTGGTCTCACGGAGATTTTATGAAGTTACACAAACATAAATGAAGATATACCAGATCTCAATTTTTTTTTACGAAATTTGTGGAGTTCCACGGAACTTTATAAAAAAGTAAATTCGTAAATAAAGGGTAAAGATTCGATCTTTCGAATAATGTAAACCGCATTTGTGCACAATTTTTATTTCGTGCGTTAAAACTTTTCAAATTTCGTAAAAAATTTTGAGATCTGTTATATCTTCATTTATGTTTGTGTAACTTCATAAAATCTCCGTGAGACCTCTTTTTCAAGTAGCGATCTAAAAAGTAGAGGTTTCAAGCTGTAAAATACTTTTTTTTAAACATCTCGATACGATGATTTTTGACGAAGTTATTCTATTAAAGTTTGCCTATTTTTGCGTGAAACAGGTGTCGCGTTAATTTTATTGCCCAGTGTATATTATTGTAATATTTTTGTATATCTTAGAACGCGATATTTGTCGAGAATGCAGCCCCTGTACGTTGACCCTCATCAGACAGATGCACTAAATTTTACCAACTGTTGGTTCTACACAACCGCTGATCTCGATCTGAAAAAAAGAGACAATTGTATTCCAAGAATTCATGTGTCTAGATTGTCGTAAATAATAATAAAAGAGCTTAGTTTTTCAGAACTCGTGCGATTAAAATATCGCGGTTTGTAATTAAGCGGTAGTTTTATCAAGACGACAGTCGATAATTGGATTTTCGACGTAACTTTGTAGCTCGAGATCTCGAAAGTCCTCTCTGAAATCTAGCGGTCACTATGACGTTTCTCTGGAAAGCGAGTTCTTTCTCCGCAAGTTGCACCAGAGTCGTCTTCAAGCTTTACATCACATGGAGCTTATTGTATAACAATACGCGCGTCACGACGTATCAAACAATTCTAATAATTGCCGAGAATTCCCACGCTGCTCGTTCCTGCAATTGGCGCGCTACATCGTATAAGATACCGAAATTATTTATTTCCGGACAGTTGGAAAGAAATGTCAGAGGAATTCACACCCCTCTCCGACGAATGCATATATGATTCACCAATTGTAGGAACCGAATAGGTGACCACGAAAGCATGACTCACGAATTCGATTGATATTCCACGCATTCTTGATCTCGCGGGTTTCTCGACGGTTAGCCTTCGTTATACCGCAAAGAAACCCGTTCTCCAGCAGCGGTTGGGATCGATCGATTGGCATACGTAGTTCGCGCGCGAACTAAAGGAGACGGGCGATAGTCCTGGAGCCGCACCTTCTGGTAGCGTCCTGCACTTCCCAGACGTCCGTGAAGAACGGTTCTCCATTTAAGGACGACCATTGTGAGTACAATCTACTTACTCGTGAACCATTTCGCCGATTCCCTCCAGAGGTTGCCTGTTGATGATTCTACGTACGTTATAAACACGACTTGCCAGCCGGTGTTTTTCGATAGTCTCGACCAAGGTCAACCAGATCGAACGGTACGCCATATATATATATATATATATATTGTCTCTAGAAATTTTTTAATTAAAACTATTTTCTAAAATAAAAAAAATTATAAAAAAAAATCTTATATCGCTTTCTTCCTT